TTTTTTTTTTTTTTTTTTACAAATCTTAGCAAGTTAGGAACAAATTGGAACCTCCTCAACTTATCAGGAATCTAAAAAAGAATCTACAGCTAGTAACATATCTAATTGTGAAAGACTGAATGTTTCACAAGATTAGAAAGAAAATAAATTTAGAAATATGCATTGGAAAGGAAGAAAGAAACAGTCTTTATTCTCTGGCAACATGGCTGTATAGAAAGAAAATCCTACATAAGCTACAACTCTGACCAAATTGACCTATGGATTGATGTAATCTTGATCAAAAATCCAGCAGGAATTATTTTGGGAGGAAATCTATAAGCTGATTCCAAAATTTATGTGGATAAGCAAAAGAATTAAAATAGTCAAAACAATTCCGAAAATAAAAAACAAAGACGAAGAACCTATACTACTAGATTTCAAAAAGTACTTTAAGGGCACCAAGACAGAGTGGTGCTGGATAAAGAACAGATACAAACATCAATTCTATATGATAAGAGTGCACAAACAGACCAAAACAAATACGGTTGATTGATATTTGAAAAAATTACGAAGGGAATTCAATGAAGAAAGGATAGTGTTTTCACAAAATGATATAGGAACAACTGAACACCCATAAGTCAAAAAAACAAAAAACAAACTAAAGCACACAAATTACTGCCCAAAAGCAAAAAATAACAAACCTAAATGTAAAACACAAAATTGTCAAATTTCTACAAGAAAACAGAGGGGATAATCTGTGTGGCCTTGGGTGAAGAAAAGATTTCTTTATGAAGCAAAAATAATTATACACAACAGAAAAAACTGACAATTTAGATTTTATCTGTAATTTTTAAATTTCTGCTTTTTGAAAGATACTATTAAGAAAATGATAACAAATGCACAACATTCAAATGATAAAACTGAATGCCTTCTTTATATTAAGAGTGGGTATTACTTTTCAGTGTATATAATAATATCATTAATCTAACAGAAGAGCTGCTGGTTCTTTAACAGTATACCAGAGACTTTCTTAAAAATATCTCCATTTTAAAAGATTGGATGTACCTGATCAAATTTAAAAGCTTCTGCACAGCCAAAGAAACTGTCACAAGAGCAAACAGACAACGTACAAAATGGGAGAAAATTTTTGCATGCTACAAATCCGATAAAGGGCTGATAACTAGAATCCACTTAGAACTTGGGAAAATCAACAAGAAAAAATCAAACGACCCTATCAAAAAGTGGG